ATGTGACTGTGATGGGGTTGGAAGAAATTGCTTCCTGGTGTGTTCTCCTGCTTCTCCTGGCATACTGTGTAGGTGGCACGGGCTGTGGACATGCTGGGAAGGGCTTTGCTTGGGCACATCCAGGTCTAGCACTTCCTCGGCAAAGTTTCTTCTTGGGAAGTGTCATTTTTGTTTGACTTTTTGGCTGTCACGATAGCCAAGAAACAAGATCGCTGCTGGGTGCTGATGCAGAGAAATGCAGGGCAAGTGACCCTAATATGCTTTGTACGGTAGCTCATAGAATCTGCTCTTCCACGATGATGTCTTTTGTCCTTTATGTTGACATCTAATGAATTTTTAGCGAATATTAGCTATCATAAAAATGGTTCACAAAGTATCTGGCTTTCACCCCTAGTGAGAGAGAGTTCAGACATCATAATGCTTTCTGGAATCGGTTTATCTCTGTGAATGTGTGTAGAATTTAAATGAACCTTTTTACTTAACCTACAGTTCTTCAGCTGGAAAAGATGGATTGCAGAGAGATGTTGAACCCCTTGGCGAAGAGAATCTCATTCTATATTTAGAGATCTCTTTTATTTATTCATTTTTTTCCTGCAATATAACATAGTAGTGGTGACAAGGGAACATCTGCTACCACAATGCTCCCCTTTTCCTGCTTGCACTGCTCTCCTTCCCCCCTTCTCCTGTAGCTAGTTCACCTCCTGGCAGTGCTGAAGTCTTTCAGTGGTGTTTTCGAGGTGGTGGCCAGCTCCTCTTCAGTCAATTCAGAAGTTGTGATTTCCAATACCTGCCTTGGGAAGATGATTCCACATGTATGTTGTTCCTATGGCTAAGAAATCCTCTCCAGTCATTAACAGAAAGGCTGGTTTTACTCAGTCTCTCTAGTCACAATCTCTTTCTTTTTCCCGTCTTTTTTTCTGACCTAATATATTCTTCTTTTATGGGGCTTGTATCTTCCAGCTGTTTATAGGTAGTTAGCCTTCCTCTCCTCTTTCCCCTTTGATTATTAGTTTTTTGCTGAGTGATACGATAATAGTGTTGCCACACTGTTGCCAGTCTTTTATAATATGAGTTTTTGCTCTGTGGGGTCTGATCTATCACTGTTATTCCAGGTGTAAGGGGGAAGATGCTGCGGTGTTGATGGTACCACCGAGCCTCTCTGGTTCTGAGATGTGGGCTTTTCAGGTGAGAGCCCAGCATCCAGTTTTTCTTTCTTTCATGAGTCACACTCTTTTGCTCCTTAATCGTTTTATTCCTCTTGATTGAAATCCCTCCAATTTTTCTGTGTAATCCCATTAATGAGATAGCATCATTCTTCTGACAGAGGCTGCAGACATGTAATTTTATTGCACAGTTTTAACATAAGCCTCAGCTGGCACCGTCGTGTTATTGGAACTTGACACATGCGATTGCTTTGCTGTTCAGAGGTTTGGGCATTGGTTTTCTTACGCGATTGCTCTTTTTCTTGTTCTTTCATCACAAAGACAGGCTTCTCTTTCTCTTTCATTTGGTGTTAGCTGCTGAATCCTGAAGAAACAAAACTTCTCTGCTGAGATCCAATCTCATTCTGTAATTGAATGGGATGGTTTTAAGAACAGCAGAGAAATGTCTTGCTTCAAGTAATCTAGGGGGAACTCGCATAAAATCTGGAAAGTTAAATGATTGAGCAAATTCAGAGAGCTTCTCTTTCCTGTCCAGTTCCAGATCTGATGCAACTTTGTGTCGTTGTGTTTCCTAAAATATATATAGTTTTTTTTACTTACAGCAGAAGGCTTAAGACTCCTTCCTCCTGTTACTGCACGTCTGCACCTGCCTTCTGGGGCTGGCTGCGCTGTCACCATTCCCACCCTTCTAGACTGATGGGCATGAGTTCACCCAACAGGAGAAATAGATAGTATTTGCGTTGCTGTGCAGCACAGAGCTTTAGGCACACATGTTTTGGAGTTTGTGATGCTGGTTGCTCAGTGAGACAGTGGGCGACTCGGAGGCTGTAGTTCTCAAGGGGCACCTTCTTGCCCCCCTTATCCTCCTTTCCCCACTAGCCCTGCACCCTGGGGTTGAACTGTCACAGCCCCACTCAGCAGATAGCCTGAAACAGAGCAGGATTTTGGGGTACAATAAAGCACTCAGACTCTGGGTTTTTCCTGAGGGGAGTTGTTGGCTTTTGTTTCAGCCATGGTGTATGTTAAGTGAGAGGCAGATCTCTGGCCCCAGAGGAACCACAGCTTCTGGTCCTCCTGCAGCTGAGTCTGCCAGGGCAGGGCAACGGGGTGCAGTTCCCAGAGGGCTGTTGTCTCTCTGACAGCCACAGTTAAGCTCCCACCTGTGTCCTGCCTGTTGACGTGGCTTTTGTGAATGCTGGAGCTCCAAGTGTTAAGGTTAGGAGCTGCTCCAAAGAATGAACTGGCAAAGAAACCCAGCTGGCTTATTGTATGCCTGTAAATGGCAAGTCTCGGCTTAAGCTAAACTACCCTGTGCCGGGGAAGGACAAAAAAGAGTGAGAATAAGTCTTTGGGTCTTCCTGGCTGGATCACACTTTCAATCACAGGTTCCTGATTTGCTCTTAGTTAAATAGAGCATGTTTCTGTAAACAGGCATGAGTGTGATTTAGGCGCATGTATATAAAAATCTGTCCATCCTTGTTCAGATCCTAAAGACTTTGATTAGACTGTGGCTGTCCTGCTTGTAGGTCTTTCATGTTAAATGTTGTGCACTCTTGTGTTTCAGCTGGAAACCTCCTCTTCCCTTATCACTAAGTACCACCAGATGGAAACTGAAGATCTAGAGTATCTCCAGAGAATGTTACGCTCTACTCAGAAATGCATGCTTTCTCAGTGCCTTTTAACAGGTTTCGTTTAAATTCTGTGTGTTTTATTCTTCCTTAATGTCCTAATTGGCTTACGCTGATTCTAATGTTTTTTGATTTTTGTCCCTTTGAGCTACAGTGGTGGCATGAAGGGAACTGCCTAAGTGACTCTCCCTTCTGCTGTAGCTTTTCCAGGCACTGCTGCAGTAATGCGAAAGGACAGAGGTTAAAAATGCTGCCTGTGATTTTTGAAGTGGTGTCATAGGTTTAACTTTTTTTTTCTTATTGGAAGGCTCTTCAAAGCGAAGTCAGTGCTGAATAATCAGTAGCTCATTGTTATCCACCTGGGTCAGGCGATCATATTCCTCCAGTTCCCACCAGTGGACAAGCTTTTCTCAGCAGCTGTGGAGGCTGAGATGAGAGGAGCATAAATGGTGCAAATAATTGCATTCTTAGCAGTATACTTTTACTAAATGGGAAAATATATATTAATAATATGGCATTTGCAGGAATGATGCTCATTACTTGCCTTGTCTTACTGGATTGAGTTGGTGAGGTCATTAATTCAGGCTTTATGGAAGGTATGATGTTGAATTTCTGTGATGGTGTATCTTAGTTGAAGATTGATGGAATTCTTGTTTAGCAGTTTGTATAAACAGCATTAGAATGGTACTGGCACTTTGAAATAAAGTCTTGCACATATTGGTGGAGATTTAAAAAATAGTCCAGAAGTAATATAAATAAATAGAGCTTGGTCTTTCAGAATAGCTTAATTGCTTCACTCACAAGGCAAAAAGAAAATGCTTCCTGTAATAAGCTCCTGTAATCCCTTCCAGTGGGGTTTATTTGGTGCCCGTACAGCAGGAAGAGGTCGTGGCCACAGTGGGACTTCCCTGGCCCAGTGTCGTGTCATCAGCCCAGCGCCAAGCTTGACTGCTGCAGCTCTGGGATGCGCCTCGTGATGTTACACTTGTGGCAACCTGTTAACTGGATTGAGGTGTTTTCTGGGAGAGCTGGGCAGTGCCTGGGGAGCCTTAACCTGTGCAATGCCAAGGGCCTGCCTCTGCGCTCCTGCAGCCTGCCCTCCTCGTGCAGCTCTGTGCCCTTTCACTAGAGCTGCAGGGACAGCCTGTTGCCCTTGTTGCTGCTCTTCTGGTCATGCTGGCTGCTACCAAGAGTATTCATTTTCCCTTTTGTCT